TCTCCCCCCCCCCCAGTGGCAACGTATACACACCGCACCGGGTACTCGTTTGAGGCTGAGTCGACCTAGGGGGAGGCCCAGGGACCGGTCCAGATAATCGTCACCGGCGTTGGTGGCCGTGAGCGGGAATCGAACTCGGGCCGCTGGGTTTTGTAGCGCTAACCGCTGCACCACCGCTCCCCACAGTAAACACACACACACGTGTGTAATATTACATACAGAATAATCAACGTTTTTGGGTTTAGATCGCGTTATTTATAAATGTGTCGTAACCCTCCACCACCCGACACGGCCAATCAGCAAAAAAGTGTCACGTTGACAAAAGACAAAATAATTAACTACTTTAGCCCACCGGTGTGTTGAAGCGTGAAACCACAACATTTACACATTTACAATGTTTGAGTTGTACGACGTTTCGCTGGTAATTGCATCCAGCATTATCGGGCAATTCGCCAGAATGCAGCGAACTATTTTGTCTTTTGTCAAACGTGACACTTTGTTTGCTGATTGGCCGTGTCGGGTGGTGGAGGGTTACGACACATTTATAAACAACGTGATCTCACCCAAAAACGTTATGAATATTGGTCACGAAAGCCTGCTACGTGTTAAACTGATTACAGAGCCTACAATCAAATCGAACGGGTCTCGCCACAACACGCAGTGACCAGCAGCTGCTGACCGCAGCAGAGAGCAGAAGCAGCCAAATCTAATTATTGCACTGTACTTCTATGCTCACCAACTATGGCACCAACCCGCACCGAGACCCAACCGTGGCGGGGTGGCAAAATGACCATACTTCACCACTCCCGTCAACGTGGCTTTGCTGCATTGCGGGGAGCGGCCAAATCGTTGCCTCCGATGGCAAAACCAGCGACTAATCAACTGCACGGCCAACCGCGAATAAAATTTTTTTAAATTAACCCGTAAAAATAAAGTTTTTCACTATAAATCCTTTATATGCGTGGCATCGGGGCGGCTAGAGTCCTCTCGTCCTCTGGCTTGAGATGGCTGCCACCTATGGGTCAGATGATTGTGTGCCAACATTAACCAATTGGTAAATAAATATTAAAATTTTCTCCCCTAAACAGTGTAAAATTTTGGGAAAAAATTGTCACGAAAATTCATTGTCACGCACAACGAGTCTGTGTGCAAAATGTCAGCTCGATTGGATCACGGGAAGTGGGTTAAAAAACGACCGAAAGATTTGCACGGTCCTAAGCAAGCAAGCAAGCGAACTTAATATAAAGGATTTAAAAATATAAATGCGTCCGTAGTATATGTTGATTACACAAACGTCTAAAACGGCGTGGTGTAAACATTACTACGTTTAAATACGCGCGGCGTTAATTAAGTCGATGTTGTTTAAACATACGCTACAAAACTCGGCACATTTAACCGACGATAATTGACAGCACTTTAAACCACCAACAACAACAATAATGATGTAACATACATGAACAAGCCTTGCCAATCCACTGCTGGATGTAGAAGACACGGGGGGGGTGTGTGCCTCCGAGGGGGTCGTTGAAGGCGGGCGGGAGCATAGAGCGGTACGGTACAACGGGCTAGTTGCTGTACTTTTGCTGTTCCATCCCATCAGAAGCGTCCTTTAGCACCTGGTCATGGGCATGGGTTTTGGTGGTCTTCCATCCGTGGCACACAACTTTTGAACACCTACATCCTGTCGAGCCAAGATTAATCTCGTGAACAGAAATAAATGCAACAAAAAAGCGTCCAAGACGTATCAAACGTACGAGGCGATAATACGGACCCATTAAATATCGATCATTTCTAAACGCATCCGAAAATGCGCGTTCAATTCCACGTCGCCGCCGCTGTACTTACTAAGCAAGGGCTACACACGTTGGTGTACGAGAGGGCAGTTTCATCAATCGCGTTGTTGGACTGCACTTGTATGTTCCACCATGAATCCAGCAGTGGAGTGACAAAGTTAGAACAGTAACTCGGTACCGATACCAAACATAACTACGACGAGTGCTGATACAAACATTAATACAACAGTGACACAAACATGGACAGTATACGTTAACGATTGCCATGCAAAGCCACAACGCAGTATGTGTTACTATGCCAAGCCAGAACACACACACACAAGCCCCTAACACACACTTTCAACATCCAGCTTATATAAGTACACGACTCAAGCCGTCTAATCTCCTGGCGCTTATATAAAGCGCTGTGCAATGATTAAATGTTAAGTAACGTATATCTAGATCATTACCGCGGTATGGGTGAAAGTGAACATGGAAATCGTGTCTACCAACGCAAGTTAAATACAGGTTCGTATAGCGCTCGCTGTACCGGACGTTTTGGCTGCTGCTGATGATGATACATTTCCACATAACGCCACATGGCAATCATGTACGGCCAGGTCACTACTGAAAACGAGCCAGACCCGGGTCAAATACATGCTCCACTTATCAAAGACGTACTTCCTAAGATGGATCTCAAAACACCCAACTCCAGCCCACGAGGTCGGAACAAAACTCTGGGTTCTCAAAACGGAGGTTTGAGATAAATGTCTGAAAGTAGGCCAATCGACAAAATAGAAAAAATGGGACATCCAACACTTAGGCTAGTTACAACCACTACAACGGAGTTTTAACACGAGGATGGGTCTAACACGAGACTGGGTCTAACTGGGGGTTAGTGGCTATTATAAAACCGGCCTATGGACCCCAAAGGCCATGCTTAAGACCTATACAAGGCCCGATCTTCTCTTTTCGGCTCATATACCGGTGTACATCGCCACTGAGTGGCAAGTATTATAAACCGGTGCATATGGAACAAGTGTTAAAAACTTAACACTTGATTTATACTCAAAAAGTTTCCTAAAAACAAGCTAATGCTACAATGGCCTGGGTCTAACTCCCTTGTCCTAAGAGTTTACCATTCTAAACGAGTCGACACACAGACCAGGCTTAAAGCAACTCGTTTTACTCGGCAAGCCTAATAATTAAAGACCAAAGTTTGGCCTAATATGTAGCCTGGAGTGTTGGCCATTATAAATCCAGTAGCCTACACAGAAAGGTCAAACTTTAAGGCAGGCTGGTTCGACTTCCTATACAAGCTGGACTGGCTATTACAACTTATGCTGGGACTATACTGTAAATGTGGAGCGTTGTGTAAAATTAACCTACTTAAGAGAACCACTTGTGTAATATAAGTTGAGTATTCTATAAGCTGGACTATGGACTAATATAAAGCAGTATTAACCATAAGTCGTTAAGTTCAAACCTCTCAGCTGGGTCTACTATACCCTACATAACTGCCTTAAATAAACATCCATCCCTGCCTGGGATTGAGTTTATTGGAAGCTGGAATGTTGTCGACACGAATTCAATTCGCAAGCTTTAAAAGCCACCCCAACCCCCCCATCATAACGAAACCTACACTGCCCTGACCGCTAGGCGGTCCACATGAATCACAACAAAGTCGTATCGCTGCCATAGGCTGTATATAAATCGTTGTTGTTCATGACCCAATCTCTCTCTTACCTCCAACACGCAGATCTCTCTGGGGGCTGAGGGGTAGAGAGGCTTAAGGTTTCGTACGCCTAAGGGCGCTCATTTTGAGCGTAAAAATGAGAATATTTATTAAAGAAATCGCAACACAATAGGACACACACGCAGTCAAGCCTGGCCCTGTTTTAAATGTGGATTCGCTTGCCTGTGAACCACTAACGGTGCCCTACGATTCTGAGAGAATTCGTGGCCAAACGCACCACCGATTGCGCCAAGACTCCTCCAGAATAATTTATTTTCTAAATCTCTACCCGGGTGAGCCTTTCCGAGGCTAATATTATCCCTTCGCAAATCAATGTCAATCAACGTCTAGTGTTTACGACTTGCCAAACCCCCCCCCCCCCGCCTGCCCCATCACCCCCTACCGGTCGATAAAATAACTTTGTCGATGGCTTTGCCACAACGGATGGGGCTTTGAAGCCATCTCATGGACGGGAAACGTTTGTGGTAGGCACAGTCGTCGACAAAGATCGGTTTGGGTGGGAATGTGTCTCTTCCCACGCTCAAATGTATCTAAAACGCTCCCGTTTTTTTTTACAAATTCCCAAGTTACGCACACACTGAACTTTTTTTTAGGCCCGGCTAACACTCCACACGTAACTCCACTGCTAGATGACAATACAGTACAAACAATATACTAGGTGGCATACGCCCGGCATACTTTTTATCTAAAACACGCAGTAGTACAGCCAAACATTGAACGCAACACTGCACACGAACGCTTTGGAAACTCAATGGCAAGGGCTGTGGGTCACCCTCGTATTGCTAAAGGAACTTGTTAATATAAAGCGCTGTCCAACTTGCTGCCACATTTCTCCCCCATCTCATGGTTTAACGATGCTACCATAGTTATCAATTTTAACCCGCTGTATAAATTGAAACGGTGGTTTAATGCCAAACTTGCCACCACCATGCATTTTTGGAGAAAATGCCACCTAACAAAAAAATATATTAAAGCTGGAAATATCCCACGGATATTATTGGGATGTGGGGGGTGGGGAGACCCCCCCCCCCGCTTCTACAAATTCACCAGATACGGGATTCCAATTTTTTTTATTTTAATGTTAAAATTATCTAAATTACGAAAACTCAATAATTAAAAATTGCCAACTCCACTCTGCCCCCCACTGACGCAAGGGTCAGGCTGGTGACGTCACCGCCCGAGCTGCGGGGTTTCCCGCGGCCCCTGCAGCAGCCACCGCCCAACGAAGGACGCCGCCGCCGCCGCCATTTTCTTCAACGCAGCGTTGAAAATTTTTTTTGTTCTAAATTTTTTATAATAACTACCTCGAGTTTTTTTTTTCTCCCTCCTCTCTCAAAAATCTTTAAGACTTTAAAAAATCGCGACCTAATTTTTTAACCCCGTCTCACAGGCACACGTCGCGTTTTATTGCCCCAACGCGGTGTGCTGTGAGCTCATCTCAACAAAAATAAAATCGGCTCTTTCGCACTTACTATTAGTTTTTGATCCGGACCACCCAAAGCTTTTAAAAGAGCTCGTTAAATGTTACGGTAAGAATCTTTTCGTTGGAAGTAGGTTTTTTTGAAGCTGCCTGTGTAAACATTTGTTTTAAACTAAATAGTTCGATAATCTAGGTTTCTTCATCGGTGTTTGTTGGAGATGTCGTCCCTCAGAGGCCCGCTTTAAGGTCAATGGCCGATGCAATTAAAGTCGTCTTCTCGGCATTAAATGTTCCTCGAGTCCACCGAGCGGCAGAACAGCGTAACCTGTAAGAGAAGGAGCCCAAAATAAATACACTGCGGGGGAAAAAAAAAGAAACGTTTTTACGAAACATTTACTTGCGTCTTTTGTTACTTTTTTTAACCAAAAAATCTTTCACGCGGAGACGATGTCCTCGCCTACTCACGTACCTGCGCCCGCTCTCCAACTGACGCGGTCGCGTGACGCCTGCCCTTTATATTGCCCGGAAGTCACGTGCCCTCATTAGCATATCATTAACATATTGTCGAAAACGTTAAAAACATTTTTTTTTTAAATATCTATTTTTTGTTGTCGTCGAACGTGAGCGCAGACTCGTAAAAAGGGAGCGTAAGTAAAATTATCCTCGTCTGAGAATTGTTTTTTGTATTTTAAAACGCAAGCGCGGCGAGTGGCTTTGATAAAAAAATATAAAAATTATTTAAATATCGTCACGTGGTAGCCGCGCTAACCAATGGAGTGAAGCCTTGCCCTTATATGGCCAGGAAGTCACGTGTCCTCATTAGCATATCATTAACATATTGTCGAAAACGTAAAATACACATTTTTTTAAATAATTTTTTTGTTGTTGTTATGCAAGGTGAGCGCAGCCGCGTCAAAAGGGAGCTTAAGTAAAATTATCCTCGCCAGAGAATATATTTTTTGTTTTTTTTTAACACAAGCGTTGCTTTGACAAAGCCCCAAAGATTATTTAAATATGATCACGTGGTAGCCGCGCTAACCAATCGAGTGAAGCCACGGAGGCCAAGGCGATCACGCGCGTGGTGCGTGTCCGTGGCAAGCGAATTCTACCGCTTCCGGAAGATTCTTCCGACGTGAGAATACAACAACAAAACTTTAGCGCATCTTCTGGAAGAAGTAGACCAGCCGCACTAAATTGCTAAATGAAACGCAACTTCCCCTTCTGGAAGATTGGCATCGATTCTCTCCACACCACCCCCTTGCCCACCCTATTGTGGAATCGAAAAGTCTAGTAATCGAGGCGTGGTAATCGATTCCTCAACCGGATTATAAGACGCACCGAAGAATAAGACGGAATCGATTCCCCACTAACCAAGGCATACTAATCGATACGTAGTAATCGATGCGTATTAATCGATTCCTCAACCGGATTATAAGACGCACCTCCGAAGCTGTGCCCACTACCAATGCTTAGTCAGGAGTAGTAAGTTGCAGTAAAGGACCGTCCATAAATGACGTCACGCACCTAGGGGGAGGGGGTCAGACATTTGTGACGAGGGGGGGGGGGGGTTGAGAAACGTGACGTCACATCAAAATGCGCAACTTTAAATAAATATAGACAACACGTTCTACTTAAGTAGACTTTTTAATAAATGTGTTCTCCTACAACATCAGAGTGCAGCGCCACATTAAATTCGCACTACAATGACAATAGTTTGAAGCGTATTTTATATATTTTTTGGGGGGGGGGGCAGAGCTTTGTGACGTCATATTTGGGGGGGGGGGGTCTGACTTTTTGTGACGCCGTGTGACGAAGGGGGGGGGGGGGTCAAAATTCGTCCAAAATCGCGTGACGTCATTTATGGACGGCCCCTTAAGTATGTAGTAGGGAGTAGTCAGTCGTAGTAAGTTGTAGTAAGTAGTCAGGAGTATCTACATCATGGGACCTCCTTTGCCAGTACCAACAACTGATAATAGTTTTTTTTATGCTATGAGACCTCCTTTACCAGTGGCAAAATATAATAGTAGGTTTTTACCCTTTCAACGGGTACAAAACTGTTTTTGAGTTGTACGCCTTTTGGCGTCATCTGGTCCAACACCAATGGAGACTAGGCTCTAAGAAAAGCTGTCTCGGGTGTGGACCAATCAACTTCAAGGACAGTGCATATCATTATCAGAGTTGTTTCTGTTTGTTTGCATTTGACTGCTTGTGTTGTGGTTATTGCAAACATGATCTCTTGAATAAAGGTGTCAGTTTTGTACCCGTTGAAAGGGTAAAAACCTACTATCATAATAGGGTTTTCCCCTTTTTTTGGCGTCCTCTGGGCTAACATCGTTTGAGACGAGGCTCAAAAGAAAGCTGTCTCTGGTGTGGACCAATCAGTTTCAAGGATAATGCCATTTATTATCAGAGTATGTTTTTTGTTTGCATTCTGACCACAGGCATTGTGGTTAACGCAGACAAGATCCCTTGTGAAAGGTTTCAGTTTGGTGTTTTAACATCTTAACACAGCTGTTTTGTTGCCAGAAAAAAGGGGAAAAAACTTATCATAGTCAGGAGCAGTAAGTAGCGGTAAGTAGTAGGGCTTTTGCGACCAAAGTTATCCACGGTAGATCTGTATTCTTTGGGTGGTTCGGTCGCGTAAATAAATATTCCTGTGTCGTTAAACCCTCCACCACCACTGTTACATTGTTTTCATAGCTTTATTTTGGTGATTTTGAAAACTTTTGGTTTAGCCATGTTTGTTTGTTGTAGTACAGAGTTAGCCTGATAACTTTCATCTACATTGTCTCATGGTTGTTATTGTTTGACTTGCATCCCACTGGGATTTTTGCACACAGCGTTGAAATGCGGTGTTTTTTCTGGAAGACTTTGCTGTTTTTTTTCCAGGATTTTTCTGTTGCGTGTCGTCACTTTAAGATGTTTCTTGTTCATGTTTTTGTTTTGGTTGCGTTTGCACCCGAGTCAAGAGCCGCATGGCTCACAGGGTTATAGATAATAAATGAATTATAGATTTAAAGCTTTCGTGACTGCAAGGATTCATACTCTTAGTTCTTTCGGTAAAGTCACGTAGGTAAAAAGAGTGAAATTAAAATTAAATAAAATAATAAAAATCACGACGTTTCGGAGGCAACACAAGTCTCCGGTCCCACCTGATGACGGAGACTTGTGTTGCCTCCGAAACGTCGTATAACAAATGAAACTGAAATGAAACTGAAACCACCAGCACCACCGGACACAGCCAATTAGTAAGGTTTGTGTGAAGTGGTTGTCAAAGAGCTACCACTGAGATCCCTTCAAGCTACAGTGGAGGGCAGCACTTTGCCCCATGCTCTGCCACTGCGAGTGAAGTTCATGAAAACAAGAGATATAGCCTGGGATAAAGAAACAAAAACATTAAAATAACCTCTCTGATTGTATTAACTATAGAAAAATAATAGTTAGTTAGACGCACTAAGTAAGAAACGCTATATTTTCTGACTATCACCAAAATATGCTAAATTTACTTACTTTTTTCGATTTAAAGCTTTCGTGACTGCAGGGATTCATCTTCTTGGTTCTTTCGGTAAAGTCACGTAGAAGGGAAATAATAAAATAATAAAAATAAAACATAATAAAATAATTCTCACGACGTTTCGGCCACAACACAAGCAGCCGTCCTCAGGTGAAGACCAGGTCTGTCGAGGCGACAGCGTCTAAATGAAACACCACCACGCTTGGAGCGTATATTTAAGCTGGGTTGGAAGGGGGGGGGGAAGTGCGCCTTGACAGAAGAATCTGCATATCAAGAGGAATTTAGCACATTTATGGGAAATGCAGGAATGCGACTAGTGCTATTTGTGAAATGCTTTTGTATTGTTTGTTGTTGTAACGTTCTTAGCCGCCCATTCTGGACATTTGTGAAAAGGAGCTTTTTAGCTCATCGAATTCCTGCAGTATAAATACATATTTTGATTAATTTGGCATTGATGCCAAATGAACATCAGTAATAAGAAATCGCGTTACCCACATCCGCTTTGATCCACATTGCTCACCGTAGCTGTTGGGCTGTTTGGAATGTACCACTCACGGACCGGGGTTACGACGTAAATAGCTTCGATGGACTTGTACTTTAAAACATAACAAAAAAACAAGCCGCAGCATAATAAATCACGGGATATTTTATTACGCGTAATTAATTAAACTGAAATACAAATAAACACAATATGGTTGTTTTATTTGTAAAATTGTGAAATATAGAATCCAAACACCCCCGTATTTTAGACAATGGTTTCTCCCTCCTTGAGTTTTCGCTACAGGAATCGCGGATGAATGATTTTTTATTTAAATTGTAATAAACATTTAAAATATGCTTTAAATATATAATAATTAGCCGTGTTCAAATAAGCACGCCAGTTATTTGTTTTATGTAAATATTATACAGGTCAGTCCAATGATGCCAAATTAACATCATTAATAAAAAATCGCGTTACCGCCATCTGCTTTGATCCACATTGCTCACCGTAGCTGTTCGGAATGTACCACTCACACACCGGGGTAACAACACAAATTATTTGCATTGGCTTATAATTTAAAACATTAAAAACAAACCAAGACGCAGCATTACAAAATAACGACAACTTTATCAATAAAAATGTACAAACTTAAATTTAAATCAACGCAATAGGGTTACATTTTATTTGTAAAATTGTGAAATAATTCCAAACAAACACCCCCGTGGTTGACAATGGTTTCTTCCTCCGCGGGTTGTCGCTCCAGCAGTAGCTCGAGAAATTACGTTTCATTAAATTGTCATTCAACTTTAAAAACATGCTGTAAATACACAACTCTCTGCCGTGTTCATACAACCGCGTACGGTAACAGGAGGAGGAGGACGTGGAGTCCAGGGGCTTAAAGGTGAGCGTCCATACTTCGCGAACGCCAAGGCCCTATTGCTACTGTACCCAATCAGTGTCAACAACGCGAGCTGCAGTCGTGTTCGATCCACCGCTGGATGTTAGAGAGATGGAGGCGTTCCTCCCCAAGCTGACAAGGGACGCGTCTTCCTCGCCACGGCACACGAGCTGAGTCCATCGCTTCAAATCCTCCTCCTTCTTCTCCTGCGGCGGTGATGATGGTGGTTGTGGTGGTGGCAGTGTGTTAGGGTGCGATTTGACCCACCTTGGGGACCTCTCCTCCTAAACATCTCCTCTTAAACATCTCCTCTTAAACATCTCCTCCCCATGTTGCCGAGTCTCAAACCACATCGGCTGTCCCCTTCCCAAGCGCCCTTCTCACTCTGTCGGCAGTCGGAGCCCATGTCGCTTAAGCCGCCGCGCGTTCTCTCATCTCGGAGATGTTGACTACCTCGCCTGGTGCACAGGAGGTGGTGGGTTCGATCGCGACCCAACACTACCCATAGACTCAACACTACCCATAGACTCAACACTACCCATAGACTCAACACTACCCATAGACTCAACACTACCCATAGACTCAACACTACCCATAGACTCAACACTACCCATAGACTCAACACTGCCCATAGACTCAACACTGTCCATAGACTCAACACTGTCCATAGACTCAACACTACCCATAGACTCAACACTGTCCATAGACTCAACACTACCCATAGACTCAACACTACCCATAGACTCAACACTGCCCATAGACTCAACACTGTCCATAGACTCAACACTACCCATAGACTCAACACGACCCATAGACTCAACACTACCCATAGACTCAACACTGTCCATAGACTCAACACTACCCATAGACTCAACACTGCCCATAGACTCAACACTACCCATAGACTCAACACTGCCCATAGACTCAACACTGTCCATAGACTCAACACTACCCATAGACTCAACACTGCCCATAGACTCAACACTGCCCATAGACTCAACACTACCCATAGACTCAACACTGCCCATAGACTCAACACTACCCATAGACTCAACACTACCCATAGACTCAACACTGCCCATCCCATAGACTCAACACTGCACATAGACTCAACACTGCCCATAGACTCAACACTGCCCATAGACTCAACACTGCCCATAGACTCAACACTACCCATAGACTCACACTACCCATAGACTCAACACTACCCATAGACTCACACTACCCATAGACTCAACACTACCCATAGACTCAACACTGCCCATAGACCCAACACTGCCCATAGACTCAACACTGCCCATAGACTCAACACTGCCCATAGACTCAACACTGCCCATAGACTCAACACTGCCCATAGACTCAACACTGCCCATAGACTCAACACTGCCCATAGACTCAACACTGCCCATAGACTCAACACTACCCATAGACTCAACACTGCCCATCCCATAGACTCAACACTGCCCATAGACTCAACACTGCCCATAGACTCAACACTGCCCATAGACTCAACACTGCCCATAGACTCAGCACTGCCCATAGACTCAACACTGCCCATAGACTCCACACTGCCCATAGACTCAACACTACCCATAGACTCAACACTGCCTATAGACTCAACACTACCCATAGACTCAACACTGCCCATAGACTCATCAATGCCAATAGACTCAACACTGCACCATAGACTCAACACTGCACCATAGACTCAACACTGCCCATAGACTCATTACTGCCCGTAGACTCAACACTATCCATAGACTCAACACTGCCCGTAGACTCATCACTGCCCGTAGACTCAACACTATCCATAGACTCAACACTGCCCATAGACTCAACACTACCCATAGACTCAACACTGCCCATAGACTCATCACTGCCCGTAGACTCAACACTATCCATAGACTCAACACTGCACCATAGACTCAACACCGCCCACAGACTCAACACCGCCCATAGACTCAACACTACCCATCGACTCAACACTGCCCATAGACTCAACACTACCCATAGACTCAACACTGCCCAGTGACTCAACACTACCCATAGACTCAACACTGCCCATAGACTCAACACTACCCATAGACTCAACACTACCCACAGACTCAACACTACCCATAGACTCAACACTGCCCATAGACTCAACACTACCCATAGACTCAACATTACCCACAGACTCAACACTACCCATAGACTCACCACTGCCCATTGACTCAACACTGACCATGGACTCACCACTGCCCATTGACTCAACACTACCCATAGACTCAACACTGCCCATAGACTCAACACTGCCCATTGACTCAACACTGACCATGGACTCACCACTGCCCATTGACTCAACACTACCCATAGACTCAACACTGCCCATAGACTCAACACTGCGCATAGACTCAACACTGCCCATAGACTCAACACTGCCCATCCCTAGACTCAACACTGCCCTAGACTCAACACTGCCCATAGACTCAACACTGCCCATAGACTCAACACTGCCCATAGACTCAACACTACCCATAGACTCCCTACCCATAGACTCAACACTACCCATAGACTCAACACTACCCCATAGACTCAACACTACCATAGACTCAACACTGCCCATAGACCCAACACTGCCCATATACTCAACACTGCCCATAGACTCAACACTGCCCATAGACTCAACACTGCATAGACTCAACACTGCCCATAGACTCAACACTGCCCATAGACTCAACACTACCCATAGACTCAACACTACCCATAGACTCAACACTGCCCATAGACTCAACACTGCCATAGACTCAACACTACCCATAGACTCAACACTACCCATAGACTCAACACTACCCATAGACTCAACACTGCCATAGACTCAACACTACCCATAGACTCAACACTGCCCATAGACTCAACACTGCCCATAGACTCAACACTGCCCATAGACTCAACCTACCCATAGACTCACACTACCCATAGACTCAACACTGCCCATAATACTCAACACTACCCATAGACTCAACACTACCCATACTCAACACTACCCATAGACTCAACACTACCCATAGACTCACACTACACATAGACTCACACTACCCATAGACTCAACACTACCCATAGACTCAACACTACCCATAGACTCAACACTACCCATAGACTCAACACTACCCATAGACTCAACACTACCCATAGACTCAACACTACCCATAGACTCAACACTACCCATAGACTCAAACTACCCATAGACTCAACACTACCCATAGACTCACACTACCCATAGACTCAACACTACCCATAGACTCAACACTACCCATAGACTCAACACTACCCATAGACTCAACACTGCCCATAGACTCAACACTGCCCATAGACTCAACACTACCCATAGACTCAACACTACCCATAGACTCAACACTACCCATAACTCAAACACTGTCCCATAGACTCACCCTACCATAGACTCAACACTACCCATAGACTCAACACTACCCATAGACTCAACACGAACCATAGACTCAACACTACCCATAGACTCATACACTGTCCATAACTCAACACTACCATAAGACTCAACACTGCCCATAGCCTCACACCCATAGACTCAACACTACCCATAACAGCACCACTACCCTATACTCAACACTACCCCTAGACTCACACTACCCTAACTCACACTACCCATAGACTCAACACTGTCCATAACTCAACCTAACCCATAACTCAACCTGCCCATAGAACAACACTACCCAAGACTCAACACTACCCATAGACTCAAGCACTACCCATATACTCAACACTGCCATGACTCACAGCTTGCCCATAGACTCAACACATGCCCATAGACTCAACACTACCCATAGCTCAACACTGCCCATAGACCTCAGACACTAACCCATAGACTCAACACTGGCCCATAGACTCAACACTGCCCATAGACTCAACACTAGCCCATAGACTCACACTACTAACCATAGACTCAACACTAGCCCATAGACTCAACACTAGCCCATAGACTCAACACTACCCATAGACCTCAACACTGCCCATAGACTCACACTACCCATAGACTCAACACTACCATAGACTCAACACTACCCATAGACTCAACACTGCCCATAGACTCAAACACTGCCCATAGACTCAACACTGCCCATAGACTCAACACTACCCATAGACTCAACACTGGCCCATAGACTCACACTACCCATAGACTCAACACTGCCCTAGACTCCCATAACGCAACACTGCCCATAGACTCAACACTGCCCATAGACTCAACACTACCCATAGACTCAACACTGCCCATAGACTCAACACTGCCCATAGACTCAACACTACCCATAGACTCAACACTACCCATAGACTCAATCAACACTTACTGCCCATCCATAGACTCAACACTGCCCATAGACTCACACTTGCCCATAGACTCACACTGCCCATAGACTCAACACTGCCCATAGACTCAACACTGCCCATAGACTCAACACTACCCATAGACTCAACACTACCCATAGACTCAACACTACCCATAGACTCAACACTGTCCATAGACTCAACACTACCCATAGACTCAACACTGCCCATAGACCCAACACTGCCCATAGACTCAACACTGCCCATAGACTCAACACTGCCCATAGACTCAACACTGCCATAGACTCAACACTGCCCATAGACTCAACACTGCCCATAGACTCAACACTACCCATAGACTCAACACTACCCATAGACTCAACACTGCCCATAGACTCAACACTACCCATAGACTCAACACTGCCCATAGACTCAACACTACCCATAGACTCAACACTACCCATAGACTCAACACTACCCATAGACTCAACACTACCCATAGACTCAACACTGCCCATAGACTCAACACTACCCATAGACTCAACACTACCCATAGACTCAACACTACCCATAGACTCAACACTACCCATAGACTCAACACTACCCATAGACTCACACTACCATAGACTCAACACTACCATAGACTCAACACTACCCATAGACTCAACACTGTCCCATAGACTCAACACTACCCATAGACTCAACACTACCCATAGACTCAACACTACCCATAGATCCTCAACACTACCCATAGACATCAACACTACATACCCATAGACCTCAACACTGTCACATAGACTCAACACTACCCATAGACTCAACACTAGCCCATAGTACTCAACACTAGCCCATAGACTCAACACTACCCATAGGACATCAACACTGTGCCCATAGACTCAACACTACCCCTAGACTCACACTGGCCCATAGACTCAAACCCTGGCCCATGACTCACACTACCATAGACTCAACACTGCCCATAGACTCAAACACGTGCCCATAGACTCAACAACTTGCCCAGAGACTCACACTACCCATAGACTCAACCAATTGCACATCCCATAGACTCAACACATGCACATAGACTCAACACTGCACCATAGACTCAACACTGCCCATAGACTCAACACTGCCCATAGACTCACACTAACCCATAGACTTACAACACTACCCCATAGACTCAAACACTACCATAGACTCACCACTACCCTAGACTCAAACACTGTCCATAGACTCAACAACTACCCATAGACTCAACACTGGCCCATAGACCAACACTGCCCATAGACCTCAAACACTGACCATAGACTCACACTGCCCATAGACTCAACACTGCCCATAGACTCAACACTGCCCATAGACTCAACACTGCCCATAGACTCACACTGCCCATAGACTCAACACTGCCCATAGACTCAACACTCACCCATAGACTCAACACTGCCCATCCCATAGACTCAACACTGCCCATAGACTCAACACTGCCCATAGACTCAACACTGCCCATAGACTCAACACTGCCCATAGACTCAGCACTGCCCATAGACTCAACACTGCCCATAGACTCAACACTGCCCATAGACTCAACACTACCCATAGACTCAACACTGCCTATAGACTCAACACTACCCATAGACTCAACACTGCCCATAGACTCATCAATGCCCATAGACTCAACACTGCACCATAGACTCAACACTGCACCATAGACTCAACACTGCCCATAGACTCATTACTGCCCGTAGACTCAACACTATCCATAGACTCAACACTGCCCGTAGACTCATCACTGCCCGTAGACTCAACACTATCCATAGACTCAACACTGCCCATAGACTCAACACTACCCATAGACTCAACACTGCCCATAGACTCATCACTGCCCGTAGACTCAACACTATCCATAGACTCAACACTGCACCATAGACTCAACACCGCCCACAGACTCAACACCGCCCATAGACTCAACACTACCCATCGACTCAACACTGCCCATAGACTCAACACTACCCATAGACTCAACACTGCCCAGTGACTCAACACTACCCATAGACTCAACACTGCCCATAGACTCAACACTACCCATAGACTCAACACTACCCACAGACTCAACACTACCCATAGACTCAACACTGCCCATAGACTCAACACTACCCATAGACTCAACATTACCCACAGACTCAACACTACCCATAGACTCACCACTGCCCATTGACTCAACACTGACCATGGACTCACCACTGCCCATTGACTCAACACTACCCATAGACTCAACACTGCCCATAGACTCAACACTGCCCATTGACTCAACACTGACCATGGACTCACCACTGCCCATTGACTCAACACTACCCATAGACTCAACACTGCCCATAGACTCAACACTGCGCATAGACTCAACACTGCCCATAGACTCAACACTGCCCATCCCATAGACTCAACACTGCCCATAGACTCAACACTGCCCATAGACTCAACACTGCCCATAGACTCAACACTGCCCATAGACTCAACACTGCCCATCCCATAGACTCAACACTGCCCATAGACTCAACACTGCCCATCCCATAGACTCAACACTGCCCATAAACTCAACACTGCCCATCCCATAGACTCAACACTGCCCATAGACTCAACACTGCCCATAGACTCAACACTGCCCATAGACTCAACACTGCCCATAGACTCAACACTGCCCATAGACTCAACACTACCCATAGACTCAACACTGCACCGTAGACTCAACACTGCTCATAGACTCAACACTGCCCATAGAATCTACACTACCCACAGACTAACACTGCACATAGACTCAACACGATCCATAGACTCAACACTGCCCATAGACTCAACACTACCCACAGACTAACACTGCACATAGACTCAACACTACCCATAGACTCAACACTGCCCATAGACTCAACACTGCCCATAGACTCAACACTACCCATAGACTCAACACTGCCCATAGACTCAACACTGCCCATAGACTCAACACTGCCCATAGACTCAACACTGCCCATAGACTCAACACCGTCCACAGACTCAACGCCGCACCTCCGATTAGCACGGTTGGCTACGTACGACTGTGAAAGAAGTTCAACGTACCTACATTACAGGACATGCACAAACGGTACTGCATTGGTCCTTGTGCCCGTGCGTTGCAGATGACGACGGATGTGAGCGAGGCCATCCCCTTCATGGCCGCGTGCCACGGCCCCACCATCCTGGCGGAGCTCAATCGCTTGCGCCTGGACGGGCAGCTTTGTGACATCACGCTGCACGTGGCTGGTCACGCGTTTGGCGCACACAAGGTGAGCCGGACTCTTCACCGTAACCCCTCGTGCCTGTCTTGCCACGTTGTGCTTCTGAGACAATGTCACCGCCTACACTACTCTAGCAAGCCTGTCCCTGAGCCTAATCCTAAACCTCACTCTAACCCTAAACCTCACTCTAACCCTAAACCTCACTCTAACCCTAAACCTCACTCTAACCCTAAACCTCACTGTACCCAAAACCTCACTCTACCCCTAAACCTCACACTAAGCTAAAACCTCACACTAAGGCAAAACCTCACTCTAAGCCAAAACCTCACACTAAGGCAAAACCTCACTCTACCCCTAAACCTCACACTAACCCTAAACCTCACACTAAGCCAAAACCTCACTCTAACCCTAAACCTCACTCTAACCCTAAACCTCACTCTAACCCTAAACCTCACTCTAATCCTAAACCTCACACTAACCCTAAACCTCACTCTAACCCTAAACCTCACTCTAATCCTAAACCTCACACTAACCCTAAACCTCACTCTAACCCTAAACCTCACACTAACCCTAAACCTCACACTAAACCTAAACCTCACACTAACCCTAAACCTCACACTAACCCTAAACCTCACTCTAACCCTAAACCTCACACTAACCCTAAACCTCACACTACCCTACACCTCACTCTACCCTACACCTCACACTAACCATAAACCTCACACTAACCCTAAACCTCACTCTAATCCTAAACCTCACACTAACCCTAAACCTCACTCTAACCCTAAACCTCACATTAACCCTAAACCTCACTCTAACCCTAAACCTCACACTAACCCTAAACCTCACACTAAACCTAAACCTCACACTACCCCTAAACCTCACTCTAACCCTAAACCTCACACTAACCCTAAACCTCACACTAAACCTAAACCTCACTCTAACCCTAAACCTCACACTAACCCTAAACCTCACTCTACCCTAAACCTCACACTAACCCTAAACCTCACACTAACCCTAAACCTCACACTAACCCTAAACCTCACTCTAACCCTAAACCTCACACTAAGCCAAAACCTCACTCTACCCTAAACCTCACTCTAACCCTAAACCTCACTCTAACCCTAAACCTCACTCTAATCCTAAACCTCACACTAACCCTAAACCTCACACTAACCCTAAACCTCACTCTAACCCTAAACCTCACTCTAACCCTAAACCTCACACTAACCCTAAACCTCACACTAACCCTAAACCTCACTCTAACCCTAAACCTCACACTAAGCCAAAACCTCACTCTACCCTAAACCTCACACTAACCCTAAACCTCACTCTAAACCTAAACCTCACACTAACCCTAAACCTCACTCTAACCCTAAACCTCACACTAAGCCAAAACCTCACTCTACCCTAAACCTCACTCTAACCCTAAACCTCACTCTAACCCTAAACCTCACTCTAACCCTAAACCTCACACTAACCCTAAACCTCACACTAACCCTAAACCTCACTCTAACCCTAAACCTCACTCTAACCCTAAACCTCACACTAACCCTAAACCTCACACTAACCCTAAACCTCACTCTAACCCTAAACCTCACACTAAGCCAAAACCTCACTCTACCCTAAACCTCACACTAACCCTAAACCTCACTCTAAACCTAAACCTCACACTAACCATAAACCTCACTCTAATCCTAAACCTCACTCTAACCCTAAACCTCACTCTACCCTAAACCTCACACTAACCATAAACCTCACACTAAACCTAAACCTCACTCTAACCCTAAACCTCACACTAACCATAAACCTCACACTAACCCTAAACCTCACTCTAACCCTAAACCTCACACTAACCCTAAACCTCACTCTAACCCTAAACCTCACTCTAACCCTAAACCTCACACTAACCCTAAACCTCACACTAACCCTAAACCTCACACTAACCCTAAACCTCACTCTAACCCTAAACCTCACACTAAGCCTAAACCTCACTGTACCCCAAACCTCACTCTAAACCTCACTGTACCCTACACCTCACTCTACCCCTACACCTCACTCTACCCCTAAACTCACTCTACCCTACACCTCACTCTACCCTACACCTCACTCTACCCCTACACCTCACTCTACCCCTACACCTCACTCTACCCTACACCTCACTCTACCCCTAAACTCACTCTACCCTACACCTCACTCTACCCTACACCTCACTCTACCCCTAAACTCACTCTACCCTACACCTCACTCTACCCTACACCTCACTCTACCCTACACCTCACTCTACCCTACACCTCACTCTACCCCTAAACTCACTCTACCCTACACCTCACTCTACCCCTAAACTCACTCTACCCCCAAACTGGTGGTGGTCACGGGTTGCGACCACCACCAGTTTGGGCTGTACGCCGTATGGACCTGAAAACTAAAGTTCCCCGTACAAGAATACGGGATACACGGTACGGCTTGACACGTACGCATCGGACTGTGGCTAACCCCAACCTTAACCATGTCCCCGGCTCTCACACACCCCCAACTCTTATCCCCTACCTCCTAACCCTACCCCTGACTCGATCCCCTCAATCCCCTAACGCCCTATCCCCTCCACCACCCCCCCCAATGTTCAAGCCTGCGTACTTTACTACGCGTTCTTCGTACTCATTGACATGTAAATATTTTCCCTACCCCCTCCCTCTCTCTGCCTCCGCCCCCCTCTGTCTATTTAAGGCCACCCCACAGAGACGATCTCCCTCTCTGTACCTGTGTTATTCTCTCTCTATGTATCTTGGTGATATCTGTCTGCTTATATGTCTGTCTATAGTTCTCTGCTTAGATTTTTTGTTGCTATTTCATTTATACCTGATGACGATTGCTTGTGTTGCAATCGAAACATCGTATGCTAGTATTTAATTTATTACTTTATCTTTATACGTGACTTTACCGAAAGAACCAAAGAATAATTCCTGCAGTCACGAAAGCTCCAAATTAAGATTCCCCCCACAACTCTCCACCACCACCCTCCCCCACAGGCCGTGCTGGCCGCTAGCTGCCCCTATTTCCGCGACCACGCCGGGCTGCAGGGCCTGAGCGCGCTTCACGTGGGCGTCGTGCGCAGCCCGCGCGTGTTCTCCCAGCTGCTGGCGTTCTGCTACACGGGCAGGCTGGTGCTGACACGCAGGGAGATCCTCGCCTTCCTCACCGCCGCCAGCTTCCTCCAGCTGCAGCCCGTCATCGACCGGTGAGATGGGGGGCGGGGGGCGGGCGGGGGGGGAGTGAGTAGGGCAGGTGGGGCGGGAGGGGTGAGATGGGAGTGAGAGTTAAGGAGAGAAACGGCGATTGGGAGGGATGGAAGAGAGGGAGGGCGTGGGAGAGAGGAGATGGAGGAATGAGAGAGAGAGAGAGAGAGTGGGGCACCGCAGTCGCGAGGAGATGTTAACTACCTCGCCTGGTGCACAGGAGGTCGTGGGTTCAATCCCGATCCTGATGCCTGCTGTATATTTGGAGTTCTCGCATCATCATTATCATCATCACGGTGGCTAGGAGATGTTAACTACCTCGTCTGGTGTACAGGAGGTCGTGGGTTCAATCCCGACCCTGACGCCTGTTGCTGTATATTTGGAGTTTGCGTGTCTTTCTCATCATCATCACGGTGGCTAGGAGATGTTAACTACCTCGCCTGGTGTACAGGAGGTCGTGGGTTCGATCCCGACCCCGACGCCTGCTGCTGCTGTATATTTGGAATTTGCATGTTTACTCTCTCTCCCTGTGGTCGCGTTGATTTTTCGACGAAGTCCTCAATTTTTTCCCTCCACGTGTTAGAATCAACATCGCGCGTTCAGAGTATTTGGTTCCAATACATTTTCACGCGACGAGCCTCTTTGTTGAGCTATCGTTTATGACCAGGTCCCTAAAACACAGCGAGTTGGCACAGTAGGGGGCGCAGGTGGTGCATGTGCCAGTGATCGGTCAACCCATGGCACCTGCTGGGTCTGTCCAGTGACCTCCTGCCAGCAGCCAGAGCCTTCGACACTTCAAGTGGCCTTAAAGTGCACATAGCCTGGCACAGGCGCCCTGGTGACGTCACCGCCACTTAATGGTGAATGGCGGTTGTTGTTGTTGTTGTGCAAGTGTATTGTCTGGGTATGTGCCTGCGTGTACGTATGGGGGAGCGGTAGTGCCGTGGTTAGCGCGCTGCGCTACAAAGCCGGCGGACCTGAGTTCAATTCCCGCTCACGGCCAACACCGGTGACAATTACCTGAACCGGTCCTGGGCCTCCCCTAGGTCGACTCAAATGAGTAGCTCTTGCGGTCTGTAAACATCGCCACTCGGGAGACAGGAGGCCGTGCGTGGTTTCTGGCCACCCACCCCCTCGTGTGCCGTGCCGGCCTTCACAGGCGCTGCTACTCGCTAACAGCACTTGCCCCAACAGTTCTGTTAAGGCAATACTGGGGGCGGCATCTTTGTCTTTACCTTTGTTTGCGTGCGTGCGCGCGCGTGTGTTCCGTGACCCCAGCTGTGTGCAGCTGCTGGCCGGGATGCTCAGCCCCACGTCCCACCTCACCGACTCCTCCCACGACTCTCCGGGCCTCCACGAGCCCTCGCCTCCTCCTCCCCCGCCTCCCCCCCCTCCGCGGTCGTCGTCGTCGTCGTGCGATCGGCCTCTCCTCCCCTCCACGCCGCCGGCCCACGTCCCCGGCTCGTACGGCCCGCACCCCGCCCGCGAGGACGAGCTGCCGGCCGCGGCTGGCGGCGGCGGCGGCGGTGGCGGCGGTGGCGGCGCAAGCTGCGGAGGGAGCGAGGCTTCCAGCTGGACCGAGCTGGGCTGGCCCGACGGGTTCGTGCAGGGGTCGTCGCCGGAGGACGTCACTTTCCCTCCGGCGGTTTCGCACCATCAGCATCACCAGCAGCAGCAGCAGCAGCAGCAACGCCATCGGTACCATCACCAGCAGCAGCAGCAGCTGGTGCTGTTGCCAAGCCGGCGCCCCAGGAAGTCGGCCACGAGCGTCCGTCTCCAAATCAAGACGGAGCCGCCGGACGAGCAGATGCGTCGCGACGACGTCGACGACGACGACGACGTCGACGACGACGACGAGGAGGAGGAGGGGGGGGGGGGGAACTACAACAACAGTGCGGCGGAGGAGGAGGAGGAGGAGAACGAGGTGGTGATGGCGGAGTGGGTTGGTGACGGTGGCGGCGACGACGGCGACGGCGAACGCGACGAGAAGCCGGCGGCGCGCAGGCGGCGCCAGCCGCGGGTCATCCAGCACGCCGACCTCGCCGCCCGCAGGGGCCTCTTGGTGCCGCGGGCGTTCTCGCTCGCCCCGGCGTCGCTGGCACCCGCCGCCGCCGCCGGCGTCATCCGCGCACGCAGCACCTCCCCGCAGCAGCACCCGGCGTCGGCCGATCTCTCGCCGCATTCGGACGGAGCCCTCCCGTCGGCCGCGGCCTACGCCGATTACTTGCAGAGCGCGGCCGGCGGCGGCGGCGGCGGCGACGACTGCGGCGCCGCGTCGGTCGCCGGCGGCGCGACGTCGTCGCCCGCGTCGTCGGCGGCTGCGGCGACGCTGACGCCGACGTCCGGCCAGGAGCGGTGGATGCGCTACAACCCGCGTCTGACGTGCCTCTACTGCGGCAAGTCGTTCAACCAGAAGGGCAGCCTGGACCGCCACATGCGGCTGCACATGGGCATCACGCCGTTCGCGTGCCGGCACTGCGGCAAGCGCTACACGCGCAAGGACCAGCTGGAGTACCACATCCGCACGCACACGGGCAACAAGCCCTTCCCGTGCGCGCTCTGCGGCAAGTGCTTCCCCTTCCAGGCGACGCTCAACCAGCACGTGCGGAAGAACCACGGGCGCGGCGAGGGCGGCAGGGCTCTGCGCGGCGGCGACGACGGCGACGGCTCGGCCGGGAGGGCCGATGGCGGCGGCGGTGGCGGTGGGGAGGAGGTGGAGGAGATGGAGGAGGCGCGGGCGGAAGTTGCGCCGGAGAACGATGTGGATCGGAGCGCGAACTCGTGACGGGCTTTGAAAGTGCGTCCCCCGGGTCGTTCGCCGGCCACGTCGCGGCGTTGTTCGGCTGTCGTCGCTTCCGCGTGCCGGGAGCTTTCTCCCCCCCCCCCCCCCCCCCACAGCAAGACAAATTTGCGACGCGCCGTGCCGCGTTGCCGCGACGTCCGACGTTTCGCTCCGTGTCCTGGCAGCTTAAATTAGGAACGGGGGGGGGGGTGGGGATGCTACTGCCGGCGTGGGTTTTCGCGGCCGCGCAGCCCGGCTCTCCGGCGTATTGTTGGGAGGTTGTGCCGCCGCGTTATTCGTTTTCCCTCCGCGCATTGTGTTGGGAAGCTGTGCAGCAAAGCAACGCCACTTACTTTATTTTTTCACTTTTTTATTTATCCGTGCGTGGTGGCGAAACGTCAGACTCCATGCCAAATTGACACGCGACAGCGAGCAGAAAACGCGCTCTGAACGCCCCCGCGGGAACAACCGCGATGACGTGCGGAGCGTGGGTACGTACGGAGATCGGAGCGTATGGAGCGGGGAACCGTACGGAGTATGAAACGCGGTCGCTTATTTTTTAATTGTATGAATGCTAGAAACCCGCACATCCTATTGGACGTGACCGTCCATCCCTCCCAGCCAGCCAGCCAGCAAAACTTTTGATCCTATACGGAGCCTTGTCTCTCTCCACCTTTCTCTTGCCTTCTCATCGAGATGTCTCGCTTTGTCTGTTCCTGTCTCTCTGTTCCTAATCGCGATGGTGTGGGGCACGGGGTGACGTCACCATCGCTCAGACGTCCCGCGCGATGACGTCATCACTGCGCAGACGTCCGCGCAATGATGACGTCACCATCGTGCGGACGTTGGTCGCGATGGTGACGTCATCCACATCCTCCCCGGCATTCAGCAGCGTCACCCATGACAACAACAACATGCCTTCCAATCACTCCAGAACAGGTGCCAGCATCATTACCAACTCGGGCATTGAAGTCACCCAACAGGATGACTCTGTCCCGAGGGGCCACTTTAGCCAGCACCTGTGACAGGAGGTCATAGAAGGCATCTGATTCATCGGCCTTGCCTGCATCTCTCCACGGATGTTCGTCTTCGGTGGGGGCATAAGTAACCACGACCACCACTCCTCGCCTCCGGTTGATGGGAAGGCGAGCCCAAAAGTAGCCTGGGACTTCCAGCTTCCCACACCTCACCGCCACGCTCCCACGCCCCCTTCATTCCCTGTTGTTTGGCCGTCTCCTGCCCCGAGTAGAGGACTGTCCAGCCCTCATGGTGGCAGGAGCCAGAGCCGGTCCACCGGACATCCTGAATACCACACAGATCCAGGCGGTACCGGTCCAGCTCCCGACAGAGGAGTGGCAGCCTCTCACCTCACCCCCTCCATCCCGGCCGATACGCTATCATACTCGCAGTATTAGAAAGAAAAAAAGTTTTGCTGGCTGGAGGGAGGAGGGAGGGAGGGACCGACAAGGCCAAATTGACGTACGGGCAACTGAAAACAAACTATTGCACACGTGTACAAAATGTATAAAACGACAAAAAAATGTGTCTATTATCTGCTTCTCTGTAAGTCGTATGTTTGCTTTACCGATCGCTACTCCGATATTCCAAGCAATATGTATTTTTTAATCGCCGCGTATTATTATTAATTTGAGCTCGTAGCTTGTGCACTATGAACTCTTAAGAGCTACAGGGCGGTGGGACGGAGGGGGAAGGAAGCAAAGCCAGTCCGTGTCTCCCAACTGAAATTCTCAGAGGACGTCCAACCGAAGAGATGGAGCGATGAGTCGGTCGCTAATTCTTTTATTCAACCGGGAGATCGAGCAAACCGAGTAGACCGTGTCAAAGTGGTGACGGTGACCTGCCGCGTGTCGTGTACGCATGCAAGTTGAACTTCTTTCGCACCATACGTAGCCAACCGTGATAATCAGAGGTGCGGTGTTGAGTCTATGGGCAGCGTCGAGTCTATGGGCCGTCAGTATGTCTGTTGAACTTATTCTGCACCGTACATACTCATCCAGCAGTGGATTGACGACGACGATGACGACGATGAGGGCGGTGACGATAAAGTTCAGATTCATCTTCTTGGTTCTTTCGGTAAAGTCACGTAGA